ATGAGTTCTTTATATATTTTGGATGTTAACCCCTTTTCAGATATGTCATTTACAAATATATTCTCCCATACTGTAGGATGCCTTTTTGTTCCGCTGATAGCGTCCCTTGCTGCACAGAAGACTTTTAGCATGATGTAGTCCCATTTGTTCATTTTTTATTTTGTTTCCCTTGCCCAAAGAGATGCATTCAGGAAAAAGTTGCTCATGTTTATATTCAAGAGATTTTTGCCTACATTTTCTTCTAAGAGTTTTATCATTTCATGACTTACATTTACCTTTTTTTTAAATAAGCAATTTAGTTCCATTCTTTTAGTAAATTTCAATTATACAATACAATTAGATCCTCAGATCTTATTCATCATATAACTGAAAGTTTGTTTTAATTCTTGAATTGTTTTGAAGAAAAAGGATATCAGACAATTCCTGCATTTAATTTAATACATTGAAAGCATTCCCTAAAACTGCTACCATGAAAATATAATCCAGATCTAAAGAAGGTAGGACAAAACCCTGATATTATCGCCTCATTTTTACTGTACTTTGAACAAGGAGCATCATAGAGGGTTTTTTCTGTTTATTTGATTTTTTTTTTGTTAGCAATTTAGCATTTAGGGATAGTAAGTATTATCATAAAAGAAAGTCACTTGGCAATACATCTTTTATGTAGCAAAAAAGAATGAAAATACAGCAGATATACATACTCCTTTTGGAAAGCCATACACATGGGAGAACTGAATCCAAAGACAAGGCACATCTGGGCATCTGGGCTGTAACCATGGTGAAGTAACAGTTCTAAGCACTCTTGATGCCCTCCAAACACTGCTGAGTATACAGGGCTCACTTTATCTGGCTCAGTGTCACAAACCCGGCTCGTAAGTGGTATTAACAAGTCCAAGATTCTGCAGGTACACAAATTCAGGAGCATTTAATGTTTTTACATATACATGAGTGTTAACAACATTTCTACAGCACATATTTTAAGAGTCACCTATTGACTGATTTAAAGAAGTCTTTCTGTCTTCAGTGTACCTTCTATATACATTAAATTATTACAGGCTATATACTCCAAAATGTTATGCTTATTATTGTTGCTTAATGCAAGGGTCCTTAAATATATCTGAAACCAAATTAAGTAATGTTCCTATAAGTAAATAGATGACATGTTGTCTTTTTTAGTATTTTTACTATTTACCTTACCACTACCATGCTACTCACCAAAATTCCAATTTTATGTTAGATGTTTTAGGATCTAATAATTTAAAACTTCATTAGACCAAATATAAATTTATATCAAGCAAATTAATTATTTTCCTTCTTAAAGTACAAACTAAAGTTTCATTTTTCTAATAAAAACTTTTAAAGATCATAGCATGAATAGTATTTTCATCAAGAATAAATGAAAATTTCTGCTAAAATATTGTATTCTCTAAAAAGAATATGAGATTTTTAAATACAGAGGAAGATTTATAAAGAAATTGGTTACTAAATAGAGAAAGTCCTTTCAAAAATCATTAAAACATAAGTTCCTATATTATTTATAAACTTACCTCTAGCACTCAGCTGGAGGAAAATGGCTAATCAACTCTTCTGAAATTAAAAATAAAACTATAGGGATAGTGTAAGCCAGGAAATCATCCCTCTTTCTGAGAAAAAGAAATGCAGGGCTACCTAAAGTATCTTTATTAATATTCTTCCTCTTTGCTACTTTACCCTAAGGTAAGCCTAAGATGATAATATTTAAGGAGAACATACATTCTCAAAAGGGGATACCTATGAAGTAGTTTATAGAGGAAATCATCAGTGGCAAATAGAACTGTTAAAACTGAGAACAAATGAGGACAAATTCCCAAGAGAGTTTTAGCATCAATTTAAAGCTCAGAGTATAACTCTACGTAAGATGTATGTTTGAATAAACAATCAAGAATTAAGAAAATTATCAAATTTTAAAGCATAAGGATTTTGATAAAACAATCTTTTTAGTCTCTTAAATTTAGTAAATGTGTTCTTTTTTTAATGGGTTGGAAAAATTTACTCTTCAGCAAGACACACATGCTTACAAGTATCTTTGAGGAAACAGTAAAACACCATGCCACCTAGTGACATAATAACCAAATTACAGAACTTATTTCACTACATAAACACTAATGACCATTTTGCTATTCCTAAATTAGTAATACCAATAATAGTTATAAAATTATTTTTATACAGTAGAATTATGCTTCTCTGGCTTTAAATACATATTTTAAAAAAATGTTCAGTGCTAATTTATGTTAAGATAGGCTGCCTATCTTAATTAGATAACAATTATTATTTTATAATTATAAGATAATAATTCTTAAGAATTAAGAATTTGATAACATATTCTCATAGGTATATAACCAGATTATTAGCCTCTAACACTCCTGTAATACCCAATTTTAGGGAGTCGTAAGTTTAGGTCTCTCTCCAGAAAATACCTAAAATTTCATGGAAAATTTTGGCTAAGGAAGAAGAGTAACAGAAGAGGGAAAAAGTACTGGGTTGGACTTGAGATTAGATAAAGGAAAGTCCAGTCAAAGTTCAAGATGAGGAGAACCAGCCCACAGAAATGAAAGACTCAACTCCAAAAGGGGTCACAAATGCAAAAGCTTTCTGGGGTCAGAGAGGTAACATATATAAGTTGATTAAGGCCATCAAACTGCTATCTAAAGATACCTGGAATAAAACTGGAGAGTAGTAGGAAAGTATGGCTATAGCTTGAGAAATCCAAGGGAAGACTTATGAGAAAGTCCCTGGGGTTGGCCATTCTAGCCTCTGCCTCACACTAGGTAAGTGCAAGACTGCAGGAGCTGGGGATAACACAAGGGACATATATGGTGGTAGATCTAGTCACCCAACAGATTTGAGAGAAGAAAATACAAAGGATTTTGCCTAGAGGTAAAGGGTCTGGCCCAGAAGATTTATTCTTCATTACTTTTTAATTATGAGACCATTTTTTTTTCTTTTAACACTTACTTTGAATGGCCCATTTGTGCAGCTGCATGAATAGGTAACTGCCAATTGTCCTCATTACAGTAAAGATCAGGATCTGCCCCATTGGACAGCAAAAGCTCCACACATGCTGTGTGGCCCTCTTGAGCAGCAATGAACAGGGGAGTAGCTTTGTCCAAGGCTTGACAATTGACATTTGCACCTAACACAAAATAAAGCAATTAACAGATAATCCTCATTTAGAAAAAAAAAAAGGTCATTAACATGAACTTCAAAGCCGCTGCCTAAAATGGGTTTCATAGTACAGTTTATTCCCCTCTGTGGATATTGTTATTTACACATATTAATTTTCCTAACTTGTTGGTAATCATTTAGTTTTTGTAAGAAAACAAATGATTAATATTTTATAATTTCTTTTTAAGCTAGAACAAAAATCTTATTCAATGAAGGATTCATTTCATTCTAATTCCTCCTCCAAGCACTCTATGGGTCCAAAAGTAATTGTTTAAAAAAGAAAAATGTAAACCATCAAATACGGATTAACATTTCTAATAGTTACTGAAACAGATTAAGAAAAAAACCTAAATTATGAGACTATAGATACCAGTAATCAATTCAGTCTAAGATTTATGAAAAAATTTCCAGTAACTATGATATATACGGGGGCTATTCCATAAAACTAATATTGTCTATACTCCTCATTACAACCTTTTTCTTCATGACCACGGCATGATAAATAGAACCTACAGTAAAAGGAGAAAGGTCTATTTAAATGGGTTTCTAAACTCATTTTTAAAAAGAAAAAAATCTAATCAGTCATTTACATGACAGTGTATAAAATGATATGAAAAAGTTGAAAGTGACCTCAATTTCTGTGAAGGCTTTGAAAATAGCAGATTTCCCCCAACTTTTCTCATTGGCAAATAAAGTGTTAAATATGCTAAGTATGGTGTTATTACATGGCTATGATAGTTTTTAAATTTCTGGAATACATGTCAGTGGAAAAATCATCATCATTATCAAGAGAAAAAGACTATCTTTTATTTAAAAAGATGTTCTTTAAATATACTTTGAATAAACCAAAAGACCCAAGACAGTTAAAAACTATGTAAAACACAATTAGTAAGTTAAAGAGTTTATGGAACCTTCAGAAATTCCAACTGGACAATCAACATATCTACACAAGTAGAATTTTCTTGACTTATACAAGGTGGGTGCTTCCCTTACTGTCGATCTCAGAAAGAAATTAACACTATTGCAGAGAAAAGACTAAGTCAAGAAAGAACCCCTAAGCAACATTTCATTTTAATTGGTAATCTCAATGTATCAGAAAGAATAGGGGATCAATCCCTATAGGATTAGATGTAGAAAAGTTGGAAAAATGACAGCTAATTCACTGAAAGTTATTTTAAGGAGTTAGAAACATACATGGTTACATTGTGAACATACCTACATACCTCTTCAACTTGCTGTTCATAACTGTTCAGACAAGAGAAGGGAAAAAAAATAAAGCAAAACAAACCAGGTACTTAGCTTTCTAGATAAACCTGGCATAAGGAGTCATTAAGGTTCAGTTTGACCTCTTGTATTCTGAATATTAGTTACATGCTCATAAGTTGGAACTTAGGAAACTTGAAGCCATAAAATGAATCAGGACAGCCCTCAGTAAGGGCCATAGAAGGGGGAGGAAGATGAGAAGTCAGAAGGCCTGAGTCCAACCCCTGATTCTGCCAGAAAATACTTTCCAGATCTTTGGCAAGACACATAAACACTCAGGGCCTGGTACTGTAATCTAAAAAACAAATGTTTAAATAGTCCCTCTCAACTCTAAGACTTGAAGACTCAAAATCTGTAACAGGTATCTTAATTTGGCACTTAATGTTTCTTTTGCTTCCTACCACAACTGGGGTATTTGAAGGTTTGTAAGGAGAAAACAGAAATGAGAAAATATGTACCATGCTGTCTAAATAAACTTTCTTTTGTATATTTGGAGGTAATTTATTAAAAGCCTAGTTATTATAAGATGTATATGAAAAGCCTAGGTATTAAAAAAAAATTGCCTGGTGGCAAATCTGGTGTATTTCCTTTCTGCTCTTGACTATCCGTATTTCATCAGGTTAGCACCGTAAGCACATACACAATGTTTGGAGGAATTTAAAGTGTGAACATGCTTTGAAATAATCCATTTAAATAATCATCCAGTTAATCAAAACATATAATTCAAGGACTTAGTATACAAAATAGCTATCTAATAAATTAATTACGCCTAAACTAGTGTATATCCTAGGAAGTTGGAACTGCTCAGGTCCCTTTAAGAAAGGACAAGCCCATCAGTCAACTTGCCAACACACCTGCCTTAGTGATAGATCATTATGAACCGCCTCATGGATTAGTAGCTGTACACTCATTGCGTTGTATTAGCAATAGACACTTAGGAACCAGGCTTATCAATCAACTTATGTACCCTTATTTACCACTAAAATAAAACCACAAATTTCACAATCTTATTTATATCTGGTCAAGAATTATTCTTCCTAGAAAGATACAAAGTTAAAACTCAAGATCTTAACAGTACAAAGGCTAATGGATTAATCTTACCTGATGAAATAAGTATGTTCAAGCTTTCTAGCTTGCCATACTGAGCAGCCACAAATAAAGGTGTGATTCCAAAGTCATCCTGGCATTCCTTGTTTGCTCCTTTCTTAAGAAGCAATTTTATGACCTCAGCATTTTCCTAAAGCACAGATTCATATTTTAAATGAGAGAAAAGAAAACAGAAGGTATTTCTTTTCTTATTGTCAGTTTTTTTTTTAATTCTCACTAAAGGAAAACTTTAAAAATAAATGTATTTGCTGGATATGAAGGAAGCAGTAAACAATCAGATTATTCTATACCTTTAGCTAGCCCATTAAACATAAGCAGATGAAACACTGATCTCTAGGAATTATAATGCTTATATAAATCCTGCAAAATTAACTTGCTACCCAAGTCACTAAGAAGTTATCACAGTTTCTAAACACACTACTATAAACAAAATTAGCCATTGTTCCTCATCAATTTATAGCCCAAATATTCTGATGGCCTCTTAACTATGCTATCAATATTTGAAAAATTTAGATAATCCCTGCAGCCAAAGCTGCTGGAACTACTAGAGCAGTTGGCTTATTCAGGATGATCATTAGCATTTAGACTGCCTCTTCTGTACTGCACTAACCATCATAAATCACAGGCAACTAGGAAGCAAAAACTGTATAGAAATGTCATTTTAAAAGGGTAAAATACACAATTTACATGGAAATGAAATAATAAATTCAGAGGTTACCTGAAAAGTACCCTGGTGCAAGGCATTCCATCCACACATAGAATGGGACCCATTAACATTTGCTCCATGTCGAAGCAACAGCCTTAACACATCTATATGTCCACTTTCAACAGCTGCAATAAAGCAGTCAAAAAAATTAATGTCAGCAAAAAGGCATGTTTGTAGGACTGGACACTTCGATGATGTTCTCATCACTTATTCACCTCAGAACTCACAGTCCTGTGATCATTCCTATCAACGATCAAAACACATAATTCCTATGCAATGCCAACACATTTATTACAATTGTCTTAGCCCAAACCCATTAACATAGACATCCTTTCTGTGCATATGCAAAATTACTTTCAATCTTAATTTAAAAGATACAAGGGAATTGGGAGCAAAAGGCAAACCTTTATTCTCTCTGATAATGGAAACAATATATTTCTATTTTGTCAAAAATGCAATTGGGAGGGGGATGAGTTGAACAGGTCAGAAGAAACAGCACCAGTCTAAAGAAAGTCTCAAAGGATCTAAAGGTGTTATCATTACCATTTAATCACAAATGACAATAGTCACTGACAACTAAAAGAGCGATACTGCAAGTTCAGCATCTCAGGTCTTACCATCATCAACAACAGTCATTGTTAAAATGAAGTTCTCGTATCAAGCAATGAAAATACAGTAAAATCTTGCTTACATAAACTAAAAGGAGACTCCAGATAAACCAGACTGTTGTTAAAAAAATGCATGTTACCTAATTACAGTAACTGAAACTAATGGTTCCCAAGTTGCAGCTAAAGTAGATCCTTTGAAGGGATAGTTTGCATGCCTATAGATACCAAAAAATCATTTGCCCTTTTACTAATTTCACCAAATTATTCTGCTTTCTTTTACATATCTAATTTAACATTAGCCTAAGGTATGTGTGGTCTAATATCATGAACATAATACAGTTTACAGATTCTACCTAGTGTGCATGAACATAGATACAATATTATTACATTGATACAAAAAACGAGTGGGGCTAAGCTTTCCAGAATGTTATCTACCACAAAACTTTGCTGTGAAGGTGGCAGTAATTCTGGAGGAGTTAATAAAGAAACAGAACACTAGAATAAAGCTATATAGTACTTAGTAAGTATATACACACACACACCATTAGCAAAAAAGGTATACTGTAAATGTTGTAGGTGTGAAGGTAATACAGTGCCTTCTTGGAATTTTAAGTTTGGGGAAATATCAGTAGCTATAGGAAGAGAAAGAGTGGAGATGTTGTATAAGAAGGTATGACTTCATATGCTTCGTAATGAGAAAAGAGCTTTGAAAAACAGTAAGATTTTTTATTTCATTTCAAGCATACAATTATTCCATGCCTTAGAGGAGGAGGCAGGAAGTAAGAACCAACAACTCTCAGTCAAAACTTAAAAAAGCCCTAGAGATTTCAATCAAGGGCCACACTTGAAAAATGCTAATATAGAAGAAACAATAGGGAACATAAAATACTTAAAATCATAGAACAATAAATCATAATTGTACTCATTATTATTGAAGATGAGTAACATGATGTTGATGTTCTATTAATTTCATATATAGAATTTATACCAAAGCTTCTTTCCTCCATAATGACTGTCACAAGTTCTTTAATCAAAAATTATCTTATCCTGGGAGGTTTCAGAAATTTAACCACCCATGGTTGAGCTAGTACCACTCCTGCCGAAGTTTAACATAACTAATATTATTTCTAAGTTAACATTCAAGGACATGTTATCAGGAAAAGAACAGTTTTTTAAGCTAAGTTATTTTTCTATAACCAATCTGAAGTCAATCTAATTTTGGGTGGAGGTAATGATAGAAAAGGAACAGAATCTGTTTCATATCCAATACATACATCATTATCAGTGATTGCTGGCAAAAATCATTCTAGAGCCAGACCGAGTTGAAGATTATCAGGTTGTCAGTGATGATATAAGAAGCACAGTGTAGATAAGTTTGTTTTTCATGAGTTAGGCTGACCTTCTAAAAATGAAAGTCAAAAAATTTGTTGTAATTATTAAATACACTTCTACAAGTCAAAGAGAAAAACTGCTTTCACTTTAATATCTAAATTTATTATTTAATAAATACATTAAGATAACTGATTTCTGCATCTCTAGTGAAAACATTTACCAATGGCAAAAGAGTGAAAAAGACACATGAGATGATAAGCAGCATTTTTATAGCTCTTGCTAATTTCAAAATAAAGCAAATTTAATGTTAATAATTAAGAAAGAGTGCTTTAAAAAAGTATATTTAGAGCTTGTATCTATTACCTAGCCCCTCCTTTGGAAAAGGTATCTTAATGTTTGTCCTTAAATAACAAGTTACCAAATTGGATGGAGAAGGGAGACCATCCTATGTCAACATATGTTATGCTTCAATAAAAATGTATTTAAGAAAAAAAACAAAGAACTAGACTTGGACTTCCTATTTGTTGGCCTCCTAATCCAATATTAATAAAGTATGCTCCATGAGGAAAGAAACTGTGTCTTGCCCCCTTCTATGTCGAAGGCCAACTGCTTACAGAAGACAGGAAATAAATAATTGTTGGCTGGATGAATTTTTAAAAACGCCTAAAATAAAATAAGATTCTCTCTTTTTAAGAATATACTCCCTCCCCAGACTGAATAGACTTCAGAATAACACTACTGGATATGACAATATTACTGGTACTAAACTAGCTATTTTGTTATAAACTATCATAAGAGTGGATAAAATATGTAAGGTAACTTTTTCTGGCATTAAACAACAAGCAGAAGACTGTCATTCCTGGGAGAAGGGAAAACACGTGAAGTAAGCCCCCATGATTATCTCAGCTCTCTGCATAGGAACATTTCTGGATTATGGTACAGCAAGCTGAAGTCCAGGCAGAATAGGGTAAGACTGAGGAAAGAGTACTTCATGCAGATTAGAATCCAAGCAGCATACAGCAGTCTGCTAAACTAAGGAGACAGAGACTGGAGTTTAAGTGGTTAGAATCTTTGGGATAAGGCCCCAGAGAAAAGAAAACTCTGCAGAGAGGAGGCCTCAATATGGAAGTTCTCCAAGAATCCTTAGCTACAGTCTGAGCTGCACATGTATAAGGCAAGACAAAGCTTACCAGAGAACTGCTAAAGGGTTAAGAATAGGACAGAGATAACTAGAGGTCAAACAGTACTGATGCAATGGAATACGAGTCAGAGTGGTGAAACCACAAGCTATTACTCATGAACACCCTGGCCATCCAAGTGAGACACCCAAAAGACAGAACTCTAGGAGTAAGGACCACACCTGAGAGTACTCTAGATCTGCTCTAACTAAGCCTAAAATGAGCCCCGACAAGATCAGAAAGGAGGCAGAGGTTGGGAGTTGACTTCCAGCAAGTTAGACAGGCCTGGGGAATATCTTAAACTCTCCACAGATCTAATCTAAGCATAAAACCAAACCTTAACAAGTTCAAGGTGATAAGCTAGTAAATGATAAGATTATTCTATACCTTTAGCTAGCCCATTAAACATAAGCAGATGAAACACTGATCTCTAGGAATTATAATGCTTATATAAATCCTGCAAAATTAACTTGCTACCCAAGTCACTAAGAAGTTATCACAGTTTCTAAACACACTACTATAAACAAAATTAGCCATTGTTCCTCATCAATTTATAGCCCAAATATTCTGATGGCCTCTTAACTATGCTATCAATATTTGAAAAATTTAGATAATCCCTGCAGCCAAAGCTGCTGGAACTACTAGAGCAGTTGGCTTATTCAGGATGATCATTAGCATTTAGACTGCCTCTTCTGTACTGCACTAACCATCATAAATCACAGGCAACTAGGAAGCAAAAACTGTATAGAAATGTCATTTTAAAAGGGTAAAATACACAATTTACATGGAAATGAAATAATAAATTCAGAGGTTACCTGAAAAGTACCCTGGTGCAAGGCATTCCATCCACACATAGAATGGGACCCATTAACATTTGCTCCATGTCGAAGCAACAGCCTTAACACATCTATATGTCCACTTTCAACAGCTGCAATAAAGCAGTCAAAAAAATTAATGTCAGCAAAAAGGCATGTTTGTAGGACTGGACACTTCGATGATGTTCTCATCACTTATTCACCTCAGAACTCACAGTCCTGTGATCATTCCTATCAACGATCAAAACACATAATTCCTATGCAATGCCAACACATTTATTACAATTGTCTTAGCCCAAACCCATTAACATAGACATCCTTTCTGTGCATATGCAAAATTACTTTCAATCTTAATTTAAAAGATACAAGGGAATTGGGAGCAAAAGGCAAACCTTTATTCTCTCTGATAATGGAAACAATATATTTCTATTTTGTCAAAAATGCAATTGGGAGGGGGATGAGTTGAACAGGTCAGAAGAAACAGCACCAGTCTAAAGAAAGTCTCAAAGGATCTAAAGGTGTTATCATTACCATTTAATCACAAATGACAATAGTCACTGACAACTAAAAGAGCGATACTGCAAGTTCAGCATCTCAGGTCTTACCATCATCAACAACAGTCATTGTTAAAATGAAGTTCTCGTATCAAGCAATGAAAATACAGTAAAATCTTGCTTACATAAACTAAAAGGAGACTCCAGATAAACCAGACTGTTGTTAAAAAAATGCATGTTACCTAATTACAGTAACTGAAACTAATGGTTCCCAAGTTGCAGCTAAAGTAGATCCTTTGAAGGGATAGTTTGCATGCCTATAGATACCAAAAAATCATTTGCCCTTTTACTAATTTCACCAAATTATTCTGCTTTCTTTTACATATCTAATTTAACATTAGCCTAAGGTATGTGTGGTCTAATATCATGAACATAATACAGTTTACAGATTCTACCTAGTGTGCATGAACATAGATACAATATTATTACATTGATACAAAAAACGAGTGGGGCTAAGCTTTCCAGAATGTTATCTACCACAAAACTTTGCTGTGAAGGTGGCAGTAATTCTGGAGGAGTTAATAAAGAAACAGAACACTAGAATAAAGCTATATAGTACTTAGTAAGTATATACACACACACACCATTAGCAAAAAAGGTATACTGTAAATGTTGTAGGTGTGAAGGTAATACAGTGCCTTCTTGGAATTTTAAGTTTGGGGAAATATCAGTAGCTATAGGAAGAGAAAGAGTGGAGATGTTGTATAAGAAGGTATGACTTCATATGCTTCGTAATGAGAAAAGAGCTTTGAAAAACAGTAAGATTTTTTATTTCATTTCAAGCATACAATTATTCCATGCCTTAGAGGAGGAGGCAGGAAGTAAGAACCAACAACTCTCAGTCAAAACTTAAAAAAGCCCTAGAGATTTCAATCAAGGGCCACACTTGAAAAATGCTAATATAGAAGAAACAATAGGGAACATAAAATACTTAAAATCATAGAACAATAAATCATAATTGTACTCATTATTATTGAAGATGAGTAACATGATGTTGATGTTCTATTAATTTCATATATAGAATTTATACCAAAGCTTCTTTCCTCCATAATGACTGTCACAAGTTCTTTAATCAAAAATTATCTTATCCTGGGAGGTTTCAGAAATTTAACCACCCATGGTTGAGCTAGTACCACTCCTGCCGAAGTTTAACATAACTAATATTATTTCTAAGTTAACATTCAAGGACATGTTATCAGGAAAAGAACAGTTTTTTAAGCTAAGTTATTTTTCTATAACCAATCTGAAGTCAATCTAATTTTGGGTGGAGGTAATGATAGAAAAGGAACAGAATCTGTTTCATATCCAATACATACATCATTATCAGTGATTGCTGGCAAAAATCATTCTAGAGCCAGACCGAGTTGAAGATTATCAGGTTGTCAGTGATGATATAAGAAGCACAGTGTAGATAAGTTTGTTTTTCATGAGTTAGGCTGACCTTCTAAAAATGAAAGTCAAAAAATTTGTTGTAATTATTAAATACACTTCTACAAGTCAAAGAGAAAAACTGCTTTCACTTTAATATCTAAATTTATTATTTAATAAATACATTAAGATAACTGATTTCTGCATCTCTAGTGAAAACATTTACCAATGGCAAAAGAGTGAAAAAGACACATGAGATGATAAGCAGCATTTTTATAGCTCTTGCTAATTTCAAAATAAAGCAAATTTAATGTTAATAATTAAGAAAGAGTGCTTTAAAAAAGTATATTTAGAGCTTGTATCTATTACCTAGCCCCTCCTTTGGAAAAGGTATCTTAATGTTTGTCCTTAAATAACAAGTTACCAAATTGGATGGAGAAGGGAGACCATCCTATGTCAACATATGTTATGCTTCAATAAAAATGTATTTAAGAAAAAAAACAAAGAACTAGACTTGGACTTCCTATTTGTTGGCCTCCTAATCCAATATTAATAAAGTATGCTCCATGAGGAAAGAAACTGTGTCTTGCCCCCTTCTATGTCGAAGGCCAACTGCTTACAGAAGACAGGAAATAAATAATTGTTGGCTGGATGAATTTTAAAAAACGCCTAAAATAAAATAAGATTCTCTCTTTTTAAGAATATACTCCCTCCCCAGACTGAATAGACTTCAGAATAACACTACTGGATATGACAATATTACTGGTACTAAACTAGCTATTTTGTTATAAACTATCATAAGAGTGGATAAAATATGTAAGGTAACTTTTTCTGGCATTAAACAACAAGCAGAAGACTGTCATTCCTGGGAGAAGGGAAAACACGTGAAGTAAGCCCCCATGATTATCTCAGCTCTCTGCATAGGAACATTTCTGGATTATGGTACAGCAAGCTGAAGTCCAGGCAGAATAGGGTAAGACTGAGGAAAGAGTACTTCATGCAGATTAGAATCCAAGCAGCATACAGCAGTCTGCTAAACTAAGGAGACAGAGACTGGAGTTTAAGTGGTTAGAATCTTTGGGATAAGGCCCCAGAGAAAAGAAAACTCTGCAGAGAGGAGGCCTCAATATGGAAGTTCTCCAAGAATCCTTAGCTACAGTCTGAGCTGCACATGTATAAGGCAAGACAAAGCTTACCAGAGAACTGCTAAAGGGTTAAGAATAGGACAGAGATAACTAGAGGTCAAACAGTACTGATGCAATGGAATACGAGTCAGAGTGGTGAAACCACAAGCTATTACTCATGAACACCCTGGCCATCCAAGTGAGACACCCAAAAGACAGAACTCTAGGAGTAAGGACCACACCTGAGAGTACTCTAGATCTGCTCTAACTAAGCCTAAAATGAGCCCCGACAAGATCAGAAAGGAGGCAGAGGTTGGGAGTTGACTTCCAGCAAGTTAGACAGGCCTGGGGAATATCTTAAACTCTCCACAGATCTAATCTAAGCATAAAACCAAACCTTAACAAGTTCAAGGTGATAAGCTAGTAAATGATCTACCTATTACTAAAAAAGGGAAATCAACATTTCTCAGAGGAAGATAACAGAATTCAAGTCTCTATAACACTATTCACAATATTCAATGTCCAATATACAGGTCAGAAAGTGACCCCAACAAAAACTGACCCCAAGATGGCCCAGAGGTTGGATTTAACAGATTAACTAAAGCAGCTAATCTAAATATGCTTTAAAAACTTAAGGAAAAGATATCCAAAGATTTTCTTTTAATATATATAGTTTACAGAAATGCTTACACAGGAGGATCTAAGCAGGGAAATGAAGCCACTAAAAAAAAGAGAGAACCAGATGAAAATTCTAGAACTAAAAAAAAAGAAATGGATAAGCTTAAAAGATTAAAGCTGGTAGAAGAGTCAGCAAACTTGGAGACATTAATATAAATCCAAACAACTGAGAGAAAAAAAGACTAAAGGAAAATCAATTTTTGATTGGGTATATCTGTGAACCACACTCTTAATATCATAAAATGTTTTACCCGACTGAACACTACCCTGAGGCACCACCTTTAATCACTCAGAAATTTTTAACAAAGTACTTTATAGTCATACCCAAGACCTTACTTTTATACCATGTTTTCCTGACAGTGCCCTAAATTTGGTATTTGCTTGGAAGTCTTAATTCTTCTTCCCGTAAGTATTTTGCTCTTAGTGAAGACTAAGAACTTTCAAAACCATAAAGTCCTGGTTCCTTTGTGTTTAAGTCTTTCCTTTAGTTCACTTCTCTCCTCTCATATATTTTCTTTTCCCTAAAAGTGCTTTTCTTGCTTACTCTATTGGAAAGTCATCACTTGAATGTAGCTACCAGAATCCTGTGGCTCATCAGCATTAATTAAAATATGAAACATAGTGGGCAAAGAAGGATTTAGTAAAATGTTAGATTAACTGGTTAGCAGTTTTTAAAGGAATAATGAACCGAGATCCAAATTTTTCACCACACAATAATAAAAAGAAACAAGCAAAGAGAGGTGTCAATTCAAAGAAAAACTAAAATTCAACTTTTGTCAGGTGCCAGTAGTATACTTTCTAAACCTTAAAGCTATAGACACAGTCACAAAGTAAAAGATGAAGGGGTTTAAGCAAACATACACACCATACAAAAACACAGAAAGGAAACAAGTGTTCAGGGAAAAAACATTTTTACCAAATGTAAAAACAAGCTTAATAATATAAAGAATTTATAAAAATCAGTTAGGAAAGCATGAAGAATCTTACAAGTAAGTGAATAAGTGGTGTGAATACTTTTATAATAAAAGAAAATACAAAGGGGAGGGGTATGGGAGGGCAGGTCGGGAGGGAGGGAGATGGGGATTGAGGGGTATTATGTTTAGTACACATGGTGTGAGGGGTCACAGGGAAAACAGTGTAGCACAGAGAGGCACATAGTGAATCTGTGGCATCTTACTACACTGATGGACAGTGACTGCAATGGGGTATGGGTGGGGACTTGATAATATGGGTAAATGGAGTAACCACATTGTTTTTTCATGTGAAACCTTCATAAGAGTGTATATCAATAATACTTTAATAAAAAATAAAAAATAAAAGGTTAGGTTAAAAAAAATACAAGAAATAAACAGATACGAGAAAATATCAAAACATGGAAATATTTCTTAA